TAATGTAATAGAAATTCTTAAGATGTAAAGAAATATTTTTTTTTACCGATAATTATAACTATTTAAGAAAATTTTCTACGGTTAACAGAAAAGTTCTTGTAACGTATAGAACTAGAAAGAAGTCAATTTTTTATCTTTAAAAACTATTGCTATTTCAAAATGAAAAAGGATTATCATTTGGCTAAAATATGTAAATTGTCTTCTTTTATAATTCAAAAAAACGTAGGATAAATAAATTTAATATGTTTTTTATTAATTTACCATTAAAATATATATGAAAAATATGTTAAAATCAAAAGCTTCTAAATAAAATTTATGAAAAAAAGGACTAAAATTTGTAAAATTTACACTTCTCTTTTATGTATAACATTAAAAAATAAGAATAAAAAAGTTTTAAAGGGGTGTATATAAAAAAACGTGCAGCACGGATTAGAATTCTCCGGATTTTTTTGCTTTGTGGTGCCTAAAAGTGGTATTGACAAAATTTTTTTTTTAACCCCTTAATTTTGATTTTCATGAAAAGAAGCTGGTCTAAAGATCTTTTATAAATATGACTTGTTTATAAAAAACCCCAAAATTACTTTAAATATAATTTTAATAAATATTTCAATTTTTCTTTTCCTTCATTTCTTTTTAACATAAATCTAAAAGATATATATTAATTAATTTCTTAGTTCTACATCTTACTGGAATGGTTTTATTAATAACATTTCAATTAACTTCAATTGTGTTGGTATGCGTAGTTGTTTGCTTGTTTATAAACTGCTTAGAATATTTGACAGTTCTATGCTCTTTAAAAAAATTGGCTTGCTCGACATAACTTTTCCAACAATCACTGAATATAATTGATTGTCTACAAATATATTTTTTAAAGAATAAAATAAGGGTAGAACACCCACGCTTGTTGACATTTGCTAGACTAATTTTTCTAGACAATCTTTCTACTACCCCTACTACCCAAACACCGCCTACTCTATGACCTTTGTAATATTTTCTTTCCCCAAATTTGCTTTCATCAACCTCAACTATGCTATCTTCCCCACCTAACTTAGTGAATTTGTTTAAATATCTGTAAAATATTCCCAAGTCTCTTAGTTTGGAGCATAATACTGAAACAGTTAAGCGGTGAACATTGAATATTCTGACAAGTAAACTAAGAGACGCCCCTT